AGACAAGCTTTCATTACTCTCAAATCTGTGTGGAGGTCAACAGCACTCAGCATCAAAAATAAGATCCGGATTTTCAACTCCAATGTGAAGTCAGTGCTACTATACGGATCAGAGACTTGGCGAGTCATAAAGAGCATCTCAAACAAACTTCAAACCTTCATTAACAACTGTCTCCGCTCAATACTCAAGATCAGATGGCCAGAAAAGATCAGCAACAGGGATCTCTGGGAGCGAACCAATCAGGAACCGATTGTGAAACAAATAGGCAGAAAGAAATGGAGATGGATTGGCCATACGCTGAGGAAACCATCAAGTGACATCACTAGACAAGCCCTCGAGTGGAACCCGAAAGGGAAGCGGCGAGTTGGTCGTCCAAGGGTGACTTGGAGGAGGTCATGCGAGAAGGAGATGAAAGCATGTGGACAGACCTGGAGCAGGGTGAAAAAGTTGTCAGAAAACCGAAGTCAATGGAGGTGCGCATCTGAAGCCCTATGTTCCTCTAGGAACTAAAGGATACAATAATAATAATAATAATAACTGTTTAGCATTTTGTAACTTTTTAACACTAACTCATATCTGCAATTGTATATATTGTTGGATTCAATTGTTCAATTTGGCCCAAATCAGTGAGTCTATGTTTTTGGTATCATTTTAGTTAACTGTGCTTAGCTGTATTCTATGTTGTTGTATTGTATTGTTGTTGTCGCTTGTTGCTCTTTTTACTGCCAATAATTTTCCTTTTGCTGGAGTTGTTCCGATTGTTTTATCCCTTGTTTTCCGACCCACAATTTCGCTTCTCTCTAAACTTTATCTTAATGTAAGAATTCCTTTCTCAGGCGTGAGGCTAGCAAACCCTGCCTGTAAACAAAGTTGCTACAGAAACTTCAGCACGATGAATCTCTTTGCGTTAAAAGAAAAATGTCTTGTCTTATAACCACTACAGATGAAACACAAAGAAATTAGTAGGCATTATTTAGTCTAATCACTCCAAGACACTTGTCGATATCTGAAGAGCTGAATTTCGTGAAGCATTTTAATGGAGTGATGTTTTCAGGATACAGGTTTTAGGCCTTTTTTCATGTAATTAAGGTTTATCTCACTATTAGCTGGATGTGTAACAAAGTGACGTCATTTAAACACTGACTGTACAGACTGTATATGCTTTCGGAGACTTCAGTGGAGAAATATGTACCACAGTTTTGTTACCTGAAATCAGTGGAGATCAGTTACATATGAAATAAAATACAAATGAGGAAATGTGGGATCAATTAAAATGGTTTTCTAAAAAATAATCCTTCATTACATAACATATGAACAAGCATAATTACATACATAAATATTTATAAAACTTACAAAAGGAGTTTCATGAATGTGCTAAAATGAACAAGAATTTATGCAAGTTCTTAGACAATAAAAATTTGAATTTTAGCATTACGCAAAAATTTTGAACGACCTGATCTTGTTATTTAAAATTTTAAAATGAATGCCGCTATTCGTTGACTAGCAACAAGTTCTCGGGTGGTTGATCAGGATGAAACATGGCGCCATTTCATATGGTCTTCGACTGTGACCTATCCATGTGGCATAAACAGTTACACGGTCCTAAGGAAGCCAGGGAGAACTGGACAGATGTATCGCTCTATTGTCGGACTGTTCAGGTATACGCACCCCCCTCCAGGAGTTCGAATCCATCGAAACCGGATTCGACGGTCCACGAATTTCAATTATCAATAGAATGCAGAATATAACTAAAAAATTAAATCAATGTAGTATTTATTGTTAAATGTTCATTGAGCATTGGTGAATGGTGCGTAGGTAGGAGGGTGATGAGACCGCAATATGTTGCCAGTCCATGTCATCTTTGACAGTGGACTGTCTGCTGCATATCATCATGATATTTGGAATCGACAGTCAGAAACATTCTCAGCACAGTAGACTCCATGTCATCAGATTTGCAGAATAACTAAACCCTAATGATTATTTATTTTACAGTTGATTGGTATATTATAGTTTCTGAAGCAGTACTTTTGTGTTTGAAGCTTGCTCAAGTCTCATTCTGCAATGTCGCTTATCCCTCTTCTAGCAGAAGGTAAAATCTTATCTGAAATTGTTTGCGAGTATAGATTAAGTCTCATCGTACCATACACAATGCGCACTGATTGATGGGAAATTTAGGTGGTCCACTGATTTAGGCAGGCCGCTGTTTTGTTGGACTGGCCTAATAATGACTGACTGAGATAAAAGTATTCGATAAAAGGCATTAGAGAAGACAAATTTTGCGAGATGATGCCATCATTTCGTAGTTTCTTTACAACCGCTTTACAATTAACATGGTTAACAATAATAAAATAAAATCCATGACAATTACTCAGTTGATTAAAAAACAAAAGTACGTACTAATGATCAATCATAGTTTTAAATAGGTCATGTAGTCTATGGTAGGCGAAGATTGAAGCCTATTGTTTTGTGTACACACAGTTTAGTATGTATGTGAGTAATCCCCCAAAGTGCTTCCATCACCTTCAGTGACCAACCCTGAATTAGAGTTATGTGAAATAATTGTGAAACAGTCAATAATATTAGCTCTCCATCCTCTTGGGCCCCTGTTAGCAGATATTTTCATGTCGAAATCGGAGAGTCAATTGTAAATTTATGCTGTATAAACGTTATGTAGATGATACTCTGATTATTACTAAATAGTGGTAATAGTAAATCATATTCATCCAAATATCCGAGTGACTTCCGAACTAGAATTGAATAACAAACTCGGTTTCATGGATATTACTTTAACTAGGAAAGATGATGGAACAATTCAGCGATCTATTTTTCGTAAACTAACATGCAGTAGACAATATCTTCATCCATTATAAACGTTCCCTAGTGAAATATTTGTTCTCAAGGGCCCCAAAAATATGCACAAGTGACAAATTGATGGATGAGTTTTGATATATACATTCAGTTTTATTAGCTAATGGCTATCCGGAGAACTTTATCACTTGTCATAGTAAAGAAAGACAGCATCTCAAAAAGACAGCTTCTGTACCACAGAAAGCTATCTTTATTAACCTACTATTCAAGGGTGAGCAGATTATGCAGTTGACAGCTAGCTCAAAGACTCAGGTCAACCATCAAACACACATTCTACACGAAATCTCTTTCCCTTACATCTGGAAAATTTTCGATCCTTATACCTACGACTAAAGGACGAAATTCTGTGGACTCTACTTCAAACTGTATCTACAAGTTCATCTGCAGCTGAGGTGACACCTATATAGGTAGAACCAACACAATGTTCCAATATCGTCGTAAAGAACGTGTTCCGAAATGGTTATTTAATCATACACAAAATCCTAAACGCGATTAATTTTGAATAGAATTCCAGTATCATCCATTGCAAAACAATTATTAATGTCTGGTCACAAAATCAATATTAATGACTGTTTCACAATTATTTCACATAACTCTAATTCAGGGTTATTGAAGGTGATGGAAGCACTTGTGGGGGATTAATCACACAGCCTGAACTGTGTGTACAAAAACAAACCGACTTCCAATCTTTGCCTACCATGGACAACATTACCTATTTAAATAAGATTGGTCATCAGTACATACTTTTTTTTGTTTAATTGATATCATCTCGCGGAATTCGTCTTCTTAATCATTTATTCAAATTTATCAAAGGGACTTATTGTTTTCATAAAAAAATTCATTTACATGAAATTGTAGCATTCAGTGAATGGAATGAATTTGAAGACTGGGTGTGGAGTAAAAATAATTTAATGTCGGGCTTTCTCTACGGTCAGTGGATGGTAAAATCGTTGGTTTTCGTCAGACACCAACATTAGTAAGAGAGATCACTGACAACTCTTTGTCCCATCTTAGTCTGTGGATCTTAAGTAGTTTGATCCAACAAGTTGAGCATGGATCAAGCTTGCTAATTTTAGCTTACGACAGCCGGCTCATTGACGATTTAACCAGTAGGTGAGATGGAGTTCATTTGCAGCTGAGTAACAAACTTTGTCTTTTCATGATACACCGCTTTCCTGACTAATATTTTCAACAAGGATCCACCTTACTTTGACATGATGGACAACCACTAGTGAAGGATTCGCACTATAGCTTGAGGAAATTCAACTGATGGCAATCGGTGTGCTGACGACTGATATTCAGATCATAGAATTTGTGGAGGATATTGGATGAATTATATTTATCACATATTCGTCAAGAACTAACATCAGTTCAATGGGATTACTGGAATCCATGGGGTAATGAATAGCTGTTTCTCCCTAGTGTTTGATTGTTCAGATGTACGCACCCATCATGATTCGAACCTAGGATCTACACATGGTGAAATTCTGTAACCAATTAATCAAATCTCTACAAACCAAAAAGTGAAAATCAATTTTAAATAGGTGAAAACACTTACAAAAACTTCTTTACAATATCCCTAAAACATGCAGAAAAAATAACTTAGAAACAGTCGTTTCCAAGCATAAATGAAGCAGTATTACGGGTAGAACTTCAAATTAGTAAACAGACTGTGAGTGTAGAACTAACTGGAAACGATTGTGTATTCGGTATTACACCGATTATTTCATTCAATAATATTTTTGTTATAACAGACTTTAGAAAAATTGACACAATTAGTATTTTATTTGCCTAGATAAAAGAAGAAGAACAGGAACTACAGGGACTGAAGGTGCTGTTCTCTGTCCTCTTCTTTCTTCTTACACGACTTGCCTGTTTCAGAAGAAATCGACTTCTTTAACCACTCTGGTTAAGTTCCAGGCTTGTTGGCATTGTCCGTCATCAGTCTCTGGTTTAATCTGGATCGTCTTACCTCAAATATTAGATGGGTCACTTGAGCTTTACGCATAAACGTGACCTATACGAACTGGTCAGTTCATAAGATGTTTGTCGTATAGGGTATACTGAAATAGGAGCTTATTCAAGCCAGAAAAAACCTAGGAGTATTCACATCCTCTGAACTTTGTTGGTCATTCCATATATTGTTGACTTCTGAAAAAATGTTTCATCTTAACCACTACGTTGAAAAGTTAGAACAATCAGAAATAACCAAACCTCTAAGTTTACAACTTGTCAACTCTTCCAACGTACTTACACTACCTTATTGCTTTCCTCTAGTTTTTCCTGGGTTACTCACATCTAAGATAGCTATCAAAGGTTTTTAGTAGAATAAGTTATGTGGCATTAGGACAGCTCGTTATTTTTGTAGTCGACAGACAACTGAACTCATATGAGAAATGATCTAGAATCATACTGTCTGACTCTAAACACCGTGTATAATTAAAGCTCTCCCCACCTTGCATCTTACTACGTAGGTCTCATATCTTATAATTGTGGTTTTCAACATTATTACCATCATTTTACACTTTCTGCAGATTTTTGACTTTATTCTCACTTTGTCAAATAGACGCCAAAATCAATTCTGGTTATACATACAGCCTGTTACGTTATTTTGCTGCTTTGTTTTCGCTGTTGTCGAGTAAACTTGATGCACTATTGTGTATCAAATGCTGTGGATTCCACTCTGTTTTACCGGTAAAATGTTTTGGAATAGAGTAAATCCTAATCATTATTACTGTTATTATTGAAAAAAAAATGTTGGAATTTCTTACTCTATCCCGTCTTGAAGCATTCTGTCGAGCTCTAAACCCATCCAAAATAAATTAAACATCATCTCACGTTGTGTGTGTGTGTGTGTGTGAGGATGGTGCAAAATATGCACCTAAAAGGTAGCTAAGCACACTAGGAATGGAATATTAAAACAATGGTATAATTCAAAATGTCCATTGTTGTTACGAGTTTCTCAGTGAAACAACGCCAACATGAATGCAGGCTTCTCAGGTGTTTGGTGACTGGAAATCTTTTACAGGTATCAATCATTCTGTGTTTTTGTGTAAAGCACACTTTTCCATCTGACATCAATTATATTCACGTTAACAAAGCAGTTTATGCATTAATTCATAATAATCAGAGGAAGACTACTCGAATTCCCTGTTGTAGAGGTAATTCTCATAACAGTGACAAAAATATCATATGATATAACAGAAGTAATTTGGTGCTAATCGCCAAATGAATGTATCTGCATTCCTCGGTGACTGATGGTGTTCACACTATACTCATTGTTTCACACACCATGGTGGTATCCACTAGACCTATCGAGCTATGACAGCCACCTCTTGTACAATCTTTATAAGTTGCCTTTTGTTTCTGAATCAGCTAAGAGCTACCCGCTGAGTGATTTGACCGAAATGGCTGGCATTTGAAACTATAGCTAAAGGGTTTAAGCTAGAGTGGGTGTACCATCACTTAGTGGAGAATACAAGCTCATTTATCCGATGAGTACAAAATAGGAGGAACTACGTGCCATGGATCCTACTGCTGGTTATAATGCATCCAATAACTTTGAATTAATCCTTACGCATCGTCGAAGCATTCACACAAAAAGCAGACATTTTAAAAGATTTCAAAAGAGGTCAAACAGTGGGAAACGAGCAGCGGACAGGGATATCCTGGACCGACCGACGTGAAAAACCTAGAAGACCTGAATTTCGTGTGGATGATGATTTATGTTTGATGTGACACACAATTGAAGACTTACAAGCGAAAACCGACCAACAAACTGGTAGAAGAAGCAGCCGGTGAAGACAGGACTCCAGGTGAACATGGACAAGACGGAGGTGATGAAAATAACCAACCAACAACAACAGCAACAGCAACATCCAGTGCCAATCACCATCAACGGGAGGGATTTGAAAGAGGTCACTTCGTTCACTTATATAGGTAGCATTGTCTCAACTACAGGCAGTCGGAGCGGACGAGGATGTCAAATCGAGTGAGAATCGGGAAGGCGAGAAACACATTTATCAACCCGAAACCAATCTGGAAATCTCCGTCACTCAGCATCAAAAACGAAATTCGGCTCTTCACTAGAAAGGTCAAGTCAGTCAGCTCTTCAATACGGATCAGAAACTTGGCGGACGGGTCACAAAGAATATTTCCAACAGCTTGTTGCAGACCTTTATCAACAACTCTCTTCGCTCTATACTGAAGACCAGATTGCCAAGCAGGAAAGATTCACCAACAAGACACTATGGGAAAAAACAAAACAAGAACCAGTCGCCTAGGAAATATGCAGGAAAAGTGTATATGACACATTGGACATTCGCTGAGGGGGCCGCCGCTGGGTGACATCGAACGCGCGTCAGGCCATTGCTCGAGTGGAACCCGAAAGAGAAGTGGCGAGTAGGACCATGTCCACGGGTGAGATGGAGAAGATCGTGTGAGGAGGAGTTGAAACAGTATAGACTAACATGGATGCAGGTGATAAGTACAACAAAAGACAGAATCAAGTGGAGACGTGCAGTTGAAGCCGTATGTTCCACTAAGAACCCAAGGGAACAATAATAATAAGTCAGTCAAATAGTAAATCAAAATATTAGAAATAAATATATACATAAAAACGAAATTTTCATCCTGAATTCTTTACACAGAATTTTCACACTGTAGATAAAATCAAACTGGTAAGGTCTTGAAATAAAAGCCTAATAGGTTACATCTGAAAAATTTAATTATCAAAACTTACCCTCAATAACTACAAAATGGTGTATAATAGAGACAGATATGAGGGGTCTAATGTCAAGCGAAGTTATGAAATAGAAGACTATTTTCGTTTTTTAAGTTATGTACATTAATTATGAGATCAAACCACTGAGCTTGGATCAAAGAACGAACATGTGACTGGAATATTCAAGCAAACTGCAAGACGAAGCAAATTTCGCACAAAATATGCTGAATATTCCCACCATTAATTCAAAAGAACACAGAAGAGGAGACACCACTGGGATGGTAACTGAAGCATAATGTTTGCATTTGAATCACAGCTAAGGAAGACGAGGAGTAATCCTAGGTCTTCAACAAATCCAGTTGTATTCAGCATGACTCTCTCTGTCTGTCTGTGATAAAACCATATATATATATATTCATGATTGCTAGATATACTGAGTAGTAAAAGATTAACTGCCTTATCTAAGTTCACTTTGGCGTTCTTCAAATGAAAACTGTTACTAAGATCCATATTTAACTGTTCAGACTTCTATGCATTTATGAATGTCTTTGATTAGTCTAGGTGATATGCCATATTCTGAAATCCAAAAGGACAGGTGTAGTTACACTGATGACTAGAATAAGCAATGAAGGTGGTAGCACATTATTATTCGTTTAAGGTTGATCAACTGTATACGTCTTCATTTCAAGTTGTTAAGAATCCTACTGCCTTGTCTTCAAATCGACCTACCTACTTGATAAACAGGTTTGCGAATTGATTATCACTTTCCAAGTTTGTTGACTTCTACGCTTATTTAATAGAGCGGAAAGGGAAACAAGTGTTCTCTGTACCTTTTTTTGTTTTTGTATGAAAACGTCAGTCTGAAAAGGATTTTTGATATTTCGGTTAATTCCAAATAATCTGTGGTACGTCCTTATTGGCAGGCATAAAATGGACTCACACAAAAAGAGAACTTGGAGAATCTAGACTTCGCCGATGATATATGTCTGATTTCCCACAAACTGGAAGAAATGCAAGGGATGAAAAGCAACAAGCTGGCAGAAGAAGCATCAAAGATAAGACTACAGGTGAACATAGATAAAACAGAGGTGATGAAGATTCCTGGGAAACACCAACAGCAACAACAACAACAACAGAAACAATCAGCAGGTATAAATGGGAGGAACCTGAATTGTGCGTCGGTGGCACAATGGTTAGGACTCTCGCCGACCATTCACATGGCCCGGGTTTCGAGCCCACGCCGACGCACACCTGATAGCTATGGTCGGCCTGCGAATTTTGGGCTACCGATATCCACGCTAAAAATTCCATACTTGTACCAAAAATACGGTGTGGAATCAAGCTGTAATCAAAAATAAAAAGAAATAAATAAAAAGAAACAACATCCTTCACCCCCTTACCTGGGGAGCATTGTTTCAACTACAGGCGGACGGAACTGACGAGGATATCAAAGCCAGAATCGGAAAAGCAAGACAGGCTTTCATTACCCTTAAGTCTGTGTAGAGGTCAATAGCTATCAGCATCAAATATAGGATCCGGATTTTCAACTCCAATGTGAAGTCAGTCAGTGCTACTCACTATATGGATCAGAGACTTGGCCAGTGCGTCATAAAGAGCATCTCAAACAAACTACAGACCTCCATTAACAGTTATCTTCGCTCAATACTCTAGATCAGATGGCCGGCCAGAAAACAACAGCAACAAGGATCTCTGGCAATGAGCTAACCAACCCAGCAGGAACCGATTGTGAAACAAATAGACAGGAAGAAATGGAGGTGGATCGGCTGGACGTACTCTGAGGAAACCATCAAGTGAGTGACATCACTAGACAAGCCATTGCTGGAGTGGAACCCGGAAGGTAAGCGGCGAGTTGGTCGTCAGTGCAAGGGTGACTTGGAGGAGGTCATGTGAAGAGGAGATGAAAGCGTGTGGGCGGACTTGGAGGGGGTGAAAAAGTTGTCAGAAAACCGTAGGCAATAGAGACGCGCAGCTGAAGCCCTATGTTCCTCTAGGAATTAAAGGATATAATAATATTATAATAATAATACTAACAAAATAGTTTTTCATGAAAGTTATATGAATTGCATCAAGTGACTAACCTGCTCCACCGGCTACTTCTCTGCTGCACAGAGCGATTATTGCAAAGGTTAGCAACAGGATATTGAGATAGAGCTTCATAGGTGATCGGTGAAAGTCGATTAATTGAACGAAACGTTTTGATGACATAAAATCTATCGAGTAATTAAATATCAACTAAGAATAATGTGACAGCCACCCACAAACTTCAAAATGCACCAGTCATAATTGAAACTATGCAATTCACATGATTCAATCCCTGCAACTACACATTTATCTGAAACACTAACAATCTTCACATAAGATATTGAGTGCCTGAAAATGAAGCACACGTAATTTGCACTACTATTTGTAGGCGAAAACGCTATATGATATCGTGTATACTTGCCAAGAAACGTATTAGCACTGTGATGTACACTACTGATAATAACCAGTATAAGTAGTATAAGGCGTAATGTTGAAAAAACATTGGAAGTCAAAGAAATCTCCTATTCTTCTGTAAACAGGTTTTTACAGGTTATATGATTGTACACACTGCTTGTATTTTTGTTATAGTTTCCTTGATTAATAATCACTGGACTGCTTAAATCCTTCCACGTCTGATCATTAATATGATATTCCGAAGGTATAGACAAGCCTTATTCCTGGGGAGGTATTTCCACGTCTTTCTACATACTACAAGTAAACATCCAAACTAAACCCAGTATTCTACAAATATCTATCGAGTATTCAAATGGTATGTCTAATAGTACAGGGAGCATAGACTGTTGATATCTCATACTGGCTAGCTGTGATTTACAAAGGGCGATAGATGCACATACACATTGTCAACAATGCGGATTTTGAATAAAGCATGCACAACATTTTTCGCAGAATAAATTGGTATCATCAATTATTTCGTTGGCTTCTCATCAGCTGCTTACTGGCCAAAGTCATTATTAAATACATCTACAGAAATAAATTTCACATACTTGCTATTCGGTGCAGTCAAAAATCTATATACATATCCTGCTAATGTTAACTCCAACTGAATATACCAAATTGACACGTATCTGTGGGAGCAGTTACATTTGAAGAATAGAAAGAAGGCATATCTACGAATTTATGAACATGTTCCGAAAAGCCTGTGTCTAACGAGGAACAAATGCTTTAAATAGTGCCACCGTCAGGCACCCCATTGACACGAGTAATTAGGTGGACGTTATAGGATCCTTCAAAATGATTACCTAGGGAAAGAGTTCAGTTTTCGTCAAGTTTCCTGAAGCAATCTCCATTAAGTGCCTGAAACCTGATTTATGCGTTCAGAAAGAAGCATTTATCAGTCTTTCTTTGCTCTGGCAACTGGATATTTTCACCCTCTCCTTCATCTGATTGAGTTATGCCGGAAGTTTTCATTGTGTATGATTATTATTCTTCAGAATAGTGTTTAATATGATTATAAAATTTATTACTGTATGCATATACTGATTGATTGATTTTTGTTTAAGAGTGGACTCCGTGCAACTTCGTTAAGCTGGTTTTTCTAGAAATACTTAATAATGACTTTGGCCTGTAAGCAGATTATGAGAATCCAACAAAATCAATTGTGGTACCATTTTATTCTGCAAAAACCACTGTTGTTCTTGCTTTATTCAAATTCATCAGGAGCAATATATGTCTCAAATGTGGATTTCATCTGAAGCGGCGTCTGTCATATGCACTCAACTTAGCATTACTGCAGACGGATTCTAGCTGTATATCATTAGATGCTGCTGGGGCATTGAGGGATTGACGTTAGAGCACTATGTTGATGTGTTGTCCTTAGGCTGGTGCAGACCGAATTCTATGGGTGAAGTTTGCATACGTGTACCGTGTCTGGTGGGTCACCATCACTTAGAGTACTAGGTGATGGCATCGTAACAGCGTAATTTTTTGGAAAATCCGTCTTGAACAATCCAGTTACGACAATGATACCTAATTTTGCGTTTCAATCAAGGTGTTAACTCGATTCTGGTTATTTGCTCTTGTTCCTGTTTCGAATCGCAAATTCTAATTCCGCTCTTTCTGGTTGTGCGATACACTGATAGTGTGTTGTTTTACGATGTGATTTTATGTAAATGAATCAAGTATATTCTGATCTTGGGCCGTCTGAGGGAATCGTTGGTATGTGACTTGATTCCTAATACTCGTTTTATGCTTGAAAGTTCTCCTAACTATATACCTGCCTAACGGCACAGTTGTGGTAATTTTGAGTTCTTGATCTTGCCATTGTTGAATAGAACCACAGATCTATGGATAAATAGAGGACTTTTTGCTATCTTTTGAGCGTTATTGGATTGTATATCTCTCAATAAAGTGTCACACAGCTATACAGTGGAACTCAAAGATCGGTCGCTTCCAATCAGACCACGAGAAACTCTTTCGGTTGTTACGAACCCTATTTCAACCTCAGACAGTGACAGACAAAATAACCTGGGGAATCGTTAGTGATTTGTTGCTTTGTAATGGACGGTCTGATGTTTTCAAGAGATCTCTGATGTCAACCTCATTGAGTACTTCGATATCTAATTTCTGACATTTCTGCTCTGTATTGAATGACACCTTTTGAGACCCATGTTTTTGGAATACGTTTTCGATTATATTAAATGTCATTGTTGGTTTTGTTGATAAGGTTCTATGAGTAGTTATTTTGCGTGAAAGCCTCAGTAATGTTTGATATTTCTTCTTCTTTTTCTTTCTCATCCGTTATGAGAAAGTGTGATCGTCTAAGAAGCCTTCAAACAACTGATAACTATGGGCTGATAGAGTGTAATGAACCGAAATCTAAATGTTTATTGCAGTGGGTTTTCTTCCTGAATATAAATTTACTAAAATGTCCGTTTTGGCTCCTCTCAACTAGGCAGTCTAGAAATGGTAGTTCACTGACGTTTGATTTCGCTTTCGAAGTAAAATGGATTGTTGTAGATAGATTGTTTATTTTCTCTAAGAATGATCTGTGTAGATATCATCTTAGTACTACAAAAGTATCATCTACATATCTTGACAACATTTTAGCAGTGAGTATGTTTGAAAAGATGTTATCTTCGAATCTATTCGTGGCAAGGTCGGCGACCGTTGGGGAAAGTGTCTTGTTGCTAAAGAAATGTTAGCACGATTTTCGTTCTACGTTCAATTGCTGATGTGCATCTGATTTTCTAAGACATACGTGGAGTAATATTTACCTTGTTAGTAGGTAGCATCTTGCGAAATGGTCAATAATACGTTATTCTATCGTCTATTACTTAGTAAGCGGTAATCTTTTCTTCAATGTCATTTAAAGACTCAGGTGTAGTTCATAAGCAACTCTCATGATTCCTTGGCACAGGGGAATTTCTGCTATACATTACATGAAGATTGAGGTTTTGTACGAATGTCATCACTTTGGCTAATTCGTCAATAAAACAAATAGGTGATACACCAAGATTCAATGAAATGTACAATAAGAGTAGATCAGTGAAGAGGATCTTTTCGGAGAATTCATTTCCTTTTAAATCTGTTAAATTGTGTTTATACACATTTACTATTTTTTTCATGAAACAGGGTAGTAAACAAAATGATGACTTGTCATCATCGTAGTTTTTCATATTAGTGAATGAGTAAGAGATGTGTCAGTGTTATGCAATCAGAGGGGAAAATTTTAGTGATTGAGATGTTATCACGTAATGGTTTGAAAGAAATACAACACGATGATTTGAAGCGGAATATTCTTTTCGATATATTCGTCCTCAGAGTGCGATGAAAATGATTACCACAAAAAACATACAAACAAATATCAAAAAAATGGGGAACATTGAATGTAAGTTCAAGCAAGGGCTGATAGATGTCAAGTATAATGATAAAATAAACAGATTAAATAAGCTAAGTGTAAATTACAAAAGGTTGGCACAATAATGAAGGTACTAGTGGAGTTAAGTGAACTAGGTGAAAAGGAATAAGAAAGCGAAATATGTGGATGATTACATCCCAGCTGACATTACAAATAATCCAGGGTGGACAAAGAGGATGAATGTGGTTCTTTTGCACTCACACACACACAGATCAGGTATTTTTTTTATTAGTTTCTATAGCTCCCTCCGTAGCTAAGAAACGTTATCGTGTGTCTTTATGCAGATTGTTTGGTAATCCATATACAACTGAAAATGTCTTATCTCTTATGATGTGGTGTTTACTGCCTACTAGATGAGACAAAGTACTATTTATTCATTTGGTTACAGTTTTCCGAGCCATGCAGTAACATGTTCGCAAGTGCATGAAGATGAATTTCTCTGATATATATATATATATATATATTTATTTATTTATTTATTTTATTTTTGATTACAGCTTGATTCCACACCGTATTTTTGGTACAAGTATGGAATTTTCAGTGTGGATATCGGTAGCCCAAATTTTGCAGGCCGACCATAGATATCAGGTGTGCGTCGGCGAGGGCTCGGGCCCCGGCCATGCGCATGGCCTTCGAGAGTCCTAACCACTGTGACACCGACGCACAGAATATACCTATATAACTAGCTCCACACGAGCAGCTGAACTTGTATACAAACAATGATCTAGCCATCTTCAGTAATTTATCTTCAGTGTACTGTGTCATTAACGGTCTGGTTCAGGTACTGATGTGCAATTCTGACGCACTGAAGTTCTTTCAACAGATCTGATTAACCTACGGCTTAATATGTCACAGCATATATCGCCTTTGAAATGTACTCGCAAATAAAGCCTCTTCCTATCCATCATGCCAAGCTCAATTTTATCAGTCAATTCTATTGGAAATATACTTCTTTACAGAATTCTTAGGAGAAACCTTTTGTACCAGGGTATTTTTAAGATTGTGATTTCATCATCATTGTAATCTCCAGCCTCATTCTATAACCAAGACAATGAAGTAAGTCGCGGTTATGTTGTATGGGTAAGACATTATGCAAATGAAAATACTGTAGGTTCTACGTCACTTTTCTGTAGATGTTTCGCATTAATTTGCCATCTGGCCTTTTGGTAGGAAGAACATCCAAGAAAGAGAATACTTCCCTCATATTTAACTTCTTTATTTTATCAGTACACTTGATATCTTCCACCCGATGTTTAGAAATTTGTTTGTATGTATTTCGTGGTGATCATCTTCCTCACACAACGCTGAATATAACTCAGTTCCACCACCGATGAAACTTATATTCTGTTAACGATAAATACAT